TCAAACCCCGAAGACATCAACGTCGGCACGCGCCTCCGGCCGCGGTAGCGAGGAGGTGCGCGGGGGCCGGACCTGCACCCGTGAAAGAGGCTGGGGGTTTAGGGTTTAGGGGTTTAGGGGTTCAGGGTTTTTAGGGTTTAGGGTGCAGGGGCTCTAAAGCCAAACATATCTTTCAGCAAGCAGGAACCTTCTCTTCTTGAAGCCCTTGAAACCAAATCCCTTCCATCCCCGAAGCTCTCGACCCTACCTCCAGCGTCCGGTGACGCTAGGTACACCCTGAACTCCCTAGGCTCACCCAAAGGTAGCCTTCGGATGTTCGGGCAGATAAAACAGGGCCTGAACAAAGCAATGTGGTCCCCGCTCCGCACGTTAAGCTGGAGCTTTTTCTCGCGGCTGAAGATTTCAGTGATCGAGGGCTCCAGTGTATCTCGCAAACTCTAAACCCGAAACTCGGAATCAGAAAGCCCTAAACAAAAATCGCCCCTGAACCCTAAACCCCTAAACTCCCTAAGCCTATCTTGCCTATGCCTGCTATTTTTTGGGGGTTTCCGAAAATAGGGGACCCTAATATAGTACCCTAAATAGTAGGATCCCTATTATAAGGACCCCAAAATAAGGTACCCTCCCAAATTCGGAAACTCCCATATGAGACGCTTGCAGGCCGTGGAGAAGGCACACGGAATTTTCATGGAGGCACCGGGACCAAGCATAAAAGGGTTAGGGTTTAGGGTTTACAGGTTTAGGGTTTAGGGTGTACGGTTTTGGGTTTGGCACGCAGGGTTTCAGATATCGCCAGATTTACGGGGCTTTTGGAGGGTTTGCTTCCGCCATTTCCTGTCTCACACAGTATCAGTAAGCACCATTTCCTACAAACGAGTGATTGGATTACAAGGCCCTGAAACCAAGGGCCTACAAATCATCGCCCTGATAGCTACTGCTGATGATATACATCCTGCATTACCTTAAGGGCCCGAAACTATGGGAATTATGGTAGATTCCCTATTAGGGGCACCGTATGAAGCCACTCGTCCCTGTCGGTTTCGAACCTTCAGGCTTTCCGAATTGTGTAGGGTACAGTTAGCCCCTGCGCGAAATCCTTTCCGGAGTTTCTAGTGGGTCGGGTCATGATCAACTATGGGGATTTTTACCAGGAGCTTTCTGAAAGCTCGAGGTCTTCTATCCGAACTTTTCCCAGGTTCCAGAGCCTTCAAAACCACGGTTTGACGAAAGACATCTAGGGAGCTCACTTTGATTCTTGATCCAACTACTAAACCTCCCAGCCCGGCGCCGTCCGTGCCTTGGACAGAAGCTGGCAAGGCCGGCCGTGCAGCTGCGACCGTGGCGGGCCGCGTCATTGGGCAGGCCGGGGCTGGTAGAAGAAGAAGGATACTCCTTCTGCCATCTCGTGCGACTCTTGCAATCAGGCTCGACCACTGTCTCTGCGTTTGCTCTTTCTTTTGTTTTTTTGCTGGTGGCGGCAATGGTGGTGCTGGCGTGTTGTGGTGGGGCAGGGTAGCCGGGCCGGGGCGGCTTGATGGGTTTTGGGGGCGAGGGGTTTGTGCCTGTGCTGTGCGCGTGTCGTCATCGTAGGTTGACTTATTGCTTGTGGGTCGATCATGGTCAGGCAGCTGTTGCTGCTGTGTACAGATGTTGCTCCTGGTACTTTTTGTTGTCGCACCACTCGTGTTGCTCCAGTCCGCGATTGCTGCTGCTTCCAGTTGCTGCAGCTACTGGTACTGCTACTGCGGCTTCCGACAACGACCAACACGACTCCTCCTCCTGCTGCTACTACTACGTACCTACCACACTGCGTATTACGTACTACTGACTACGTATATTACTACTGCTACCACGAACAACAACTACTACTTCGACTCCTCCTCCTCCTCCTCCTCCTGCTGCTGCTGACGCTGACGACGACGGTTGCGGAACCGAAGATTTTCCTTCCCTGCTGCTACTGCTGCTAGTGCTACCAACGACGACGACTGGTTTCACCACAGCTGTGACGACTCCAAGATAAGAAGCTGCAATGTTTGCATCTACCAAGAGATTTCCGTTACTCTCCGCTAGGAATTTCCGAAAGCCTTGTGCTACCACTCATTGCTTGCGCCTTTGTGGCGGGGCCATTATTGTGGGTTCTCTGACAAGCTAAAACGCTCCGATCAGTTCAGAGCTGGGATGTCATGTCCCCAAGGTTGCTGGAACTGGTTTCGGCTTGGGTAGATCACGGCAATTTGGTGACATTTTTGTCGGCATTGAACCTTA